CAACATTTCAAATTCCTGATATGTGCCTGCTGTACCATGTACTTGTGTTAAAATGTATCCTGTTCTCTTCATATTGCTTCCTTTTGTCTGAAATACTTGGTGATCCTGCCAGTCCCTCTGCTTTCCTATTTCAAACTGACCACACTAGGCATGAGAGCACATCCATCCCAGTGTGGCCAATTTTCTGGCTGTGCTGGGATCAGTCTGCCTGTCCTCTGATGGCCAAGACTTCTGCTTACACGCGCACTCACCCACCCTTGCACAACTCTTTACTGAGAAGATTAGTGTACTACTATTTCTCTGCCTACAGCTGACAGGACCCCTTGCAGTTTCCACGCTTACCTCTCCAAGCCTGTTACACAGCTGAGAACATAGGTTATGTGATCACTTATAAACAGAGAAAAAAAAGTTTTTATAATTATATAATTATATATTTCTATATACTCTCCGGCCACTGTATTAGGTACACCTGTTTAATTGTTTGGTAACACAAATTGCTAATCAGCCAATCACATGGCAGCAACTCAATGCATTTAGGCATCTAGACATGGTGAAGATCAAACAGTGCATCAGAATGGGGAAGAAAGGGATTTAAGTGACTTTGAATGTGGCATGGTTGTTGGTGTCACATGGGCTGGTCTGAGTATTTGAAAAACTGCTGATCTACTGTACCAGAATGACGGGAAGAAAAAAGTGTGGATAAGGCTTGGAACAGCTCATGATCCAAAACACACAACATCATCTGTAAAACATGGTGGAGGCAGTGTGATGGCATGGGCATGCATGGGTTCCAGTGGCACTAGGCCTTTGGTGTATATTGATGATGTGACAGAAGACAGAAACAGTCGGATGAATTCTGCAGTGAGTAAAGTTGATTGGATGGCACTCCACAGTACAGATGGACAATGATCCAAAACACACTGCAAAAGCAACCTCGTAGCTTTTTAAGGAAAATAAGTGGAATATCTTGCAATGGCTGAGTCAATCACCTGATTTCACCCCAATTGAGCATGCATTTCGCTTGCTGAAGGCAAAACTAAAAGTCAAAAAGACCCACATAAAAAGAACAACTGAAGACAGCTGCAGTTAGAGCCTGGCTAAGCATCAGAAAGGAGGAAACCCAATCTTTGGTAATGTCCATGGGTTCCAGACTTCAGGCAGTCATTGCCAGTAAAGGATTCTCAACAAAATATAAAAAATTAACATTTTATTTATGATTATATTCATTTGTCCAATTACATTTGAGCCCCTGAAAATGGAGTATAAAAATGGTTGCAGTTCCTAAATATTGTACTTGATATTTATGTTCAACCCCTTGAATTAAAGCTGAAAGTCTGCACTTCAAATTTATTTGGATTGATTTGTTTTAATGTATTCTGGTGGCATACAGAGCCAAAAGTGTGAAATTTATATGTATATATATGGACCTAACTGTATATACGCACAGTGATTTAAGGTCATACCTGGGATTCAGCTTTAAGTTCACAAATAACAGAAACTGTGTAAAAAATTTAATAAAAAGCTCTTGTTAAATTGGTGTGGCAAGTTATTTTCACTTAGAAAATTAGTAGTTTGTACAGAAAGAACCTACAACTGGTTAAAATGCCTGTTGGAGCCGAAAATTAAGACACATGCCAATACTCCTAAGCTATGGTTCTCATAATCTATAAAGCCATTTATAACTCTGCCCCAAATTACATCAACGATCTTGTCTCTAAATATCACCCAAACCGTACTCTCTGCTCCTCGCAAGACCTCCTGCTCTCTAGCTTTCTTGCTCCTCCCATGCCCGTCTCCAGGATTTCTCCAGAGCTTCCCCCATCCTCTGGAACTCTCTACCCCACTTTATTAGACTATCGCCTACTCTGCTCACTTTTAGGCGATCTCTGAAAACCTATCTCTTCAGGGAAGCCTATCCTGCCCTCATAATGGAATCTTCTACTCTTCCAACCAGTCCATCCCCCACAGTTACTACCTTTTGTACCACTAGCCCCTCCCTCCTAGAGTGTAAGCTCCAAGGAGCAGGGCCCTCCTTTCCCTCTTGTATTGAACTGTATTGTTGCTGAATTGTCTCCAGTTATATTGTAAAGAGCTGAGCAAACTGTTGGCGCTACATAAATCCTGTATAATAATAATAATCTTATGTATTAAATTAATAAGGTAGGGGGGCATAAAATATTTCTTTTAGAATTATTAATAAAGACTAACTACAGTCTCTTTACTACTCTTAGGCTAGGTTCACACTGCAGTGGTGCGGTGTGATTCAAGGTGCACCTGTGGTGAGACCCAACTGCTCAGGAACCCAGAACCAATAATACACTATATTGCCAAAAGTATTGGGACGCCTGCCTTTAAACACACATGAACTTTAATGACATCCTAGTCTTAGACCGTAGGGTTCAGTATTGAGTCGGCCCACCCTTTGCAGCTATAACAGCTTCAACTCTTCTGGGAAAGCTGTTCACAAGGTTTAGGAATATGTCTATGGGAATGTTTGACCATTCTTCCAGAAGCACATTTGTGAGGTCAGACAGTGATGTCGGGCGAGAAAGCCTGGTTTGCAGACTCCGCTCTAATTCATCCCAAAGATTTTCTATCGGGTTGAGGTAAGTTCCTCCACCCCAAAATCACTCATCCATGTCTTTTATGGACTTTACTTTGTGCACTGGTGCGAAGTCATGTTGGAACAGGAAGGGGCCATCCCCAAACTGTTCCCACAAAGTTGGGAGCATGAAATTGTCCAAAATGTCTTTGTATGCTGACTCCTTAACCCCGTCATGCCTAAGGGTAAAACAAATATAAATGTCTAAGGACAATTTTATTATTATTATCAAAGGAAAACTGGCACAAAATAAAAAAGTAAACTTTTTTTTTATTTAGCTGTGTGTTTCTTGTTACTATCATAACCTACCACCAAAGATCAACCCAAAACAAATTCTCCAGCTCTTGACGATCGCAGCAATACCATATATGTGTATGTTATTTGTTGTTTGTACCCGTAGTACAGCCCAGAAACAATAGTGAGCATTTTTGTTTTTGTCTTTTTTTTACCTAAAACACACGGACACTGACATTGACACTAACTGACACTGATACCAGTTTTTTTTTTTTTAAATCCTGACCTTTTGACCCTGACCTTGACCCAAACACTAACCCTGGCACTGAACTAGATACGTATTTTTTCTTTATTTTTTAATATTTCTTTATCTTTTTTTTTTTTATACAAACATTTTTTTTTCTCTCTATGCCAGGAGTTAGAGAGATACAATGTATCTCTCTCCTCCATTCATAGAGAGAAAACAAACAAGGGGGCTGGGCTGTACAATGACTAATCATTCTGATAGCCAACAGAGGCTATCACAGCGATCTTGTAACCCGAAATCGGGAGTCCAGGGTCCCGATCTTTAGAACGGGACCCGTTGCTCTCAGTGACACCGCATTTTTGTGCTGGGGCACTCTCCCAGCACAAAGACAGGTACGCAAATATGTGGCCCCAGAGAAAAAAGCCCAGTTCTGTGCGGCATCAAGGGGCTAAGAGTTCCCTTCACTGGAACTAAGGGGCCAAGCCCAACCCCTGGAAAACAACCCCACACCATAATCCCCCCACCAAACTTTACACTTGGCACAATGCAGTTAGACAAGTACCGTTCTCTTGGCAACTGCCAAACCCAGACACATCCACCGGATTGCCAGACAGAGAAGCGTGATTGGCCACTCCAGAGAATCTGTCTCCGCTGCTTTAGAGTCCAGTGGCAGCGTGCTTTACACCACTGCATCTGATGCTTTACATCGCACTTGGTGATGTAAGGCTTGGATGCAGCTGCTGGGCCATGGAAACCCATTCCATGAAGCTCTGTTGTTGTGCTAATCTGAAGGCCACACAAAATTTGGAGGTCTTTAGCTATTGACTCTTCTGACAGTTGGCGACGTCTGCGCACTGCACTTCAGCATGCACTGACCATTTTGTCATTTTACGTGGCCTGGTTGCTGATGTTCCCATTTGCTTCCACGTTGTTATAATATCACTAATACTTGACCGTGGAATATTTAGTAGCAAGGAAATTTCACAGATGGGCTTATTGCACAGGTGGCAACCAATCGTGGTACCATGCTTGATTTCACTGAGCTCCTGAGAGGGACTCATTCTTTCACAAATGTTTGTAGAAGCAATCTGTTGGGGGTACCAAGAGGGCCTATACATTTGGCTGAACTACTCACGGACTGGGTATAGGAGGTGGAGATTTATCATATAAATGTATTCACCTATCACCAGGGACCTATGCCTCTGAGGATGCCCAGTAGGACGGGCAAAATGCATCAGGCACGGACGTGGTGATACTAAGCTTAGGAGCTTTGTGGAATACTAGTGACCTACTATTGTACACTTGGAGATTCATGCCTACTGTATCTGGAAACATGTGAGTGCAATACTAGTGTCTGCTTTTACTAATAAATGGAATTACACAATTTTGGATGCCTCTCTCTCCATTCCTTACATGTATATATCTATCGGCTCTACATTTGAATCGCTGGGAATGACAAGCAACATTTAATCAGGAGGACTACAAGCTCCAGCATGACTTCCTATGCTCCACCAAACGCGTGAGAATCTTATTTCACCATAAGAGTCCAATAAAGTTGGTGAGTGAGGTGGCACACAGGCGGAGAGCACAGAGCACTTATCACCTTCTGGATGTAAAAAGGGATTTTTGTTCACTTGATATCACATTTTGGACTTTATTTCACTATTTATTATGTGTTCATTATTTTAAGCATGTTTTTCATGTCATATAACATACATTGAGGCAGCATTGTGTATTATTTGCTAAGGTTGTATCTTTTATAGGAGCAGCAGCCCAGTTTTTGTTTAACCACCTCCGCCCGCCCTATAGCACAATGACGGGCGCAAGGTGGTTCTCTCGTTCTGATAGAAAGTCATACGACGTCCTGCCATTCTCACTGCGCATGCGTGGCTCAGGGAGCACGCAGCGTGGCGATCGCCGGTGCGCTGTGTCCCTCGGACAAAGCGGATCACGGAAAGAGCCGAAGGTGTCCAATCACAGCTGATCACATGTAAACACGGAAATGCCGGTTATCGGCATTTCTCTCCTCTCGAGCTGTCACGCTGACAGCTCGAGAGGAGAGGAGAGCCGGTAATCGGCTTTCCGCGGAGGGGACATGTACACTGATCATCAGGGCACTGATGATCAGTGTGCCCTGATGATCAGTGTGGCCCCAGAAGTGCCACCTGTCAGTGCTCATCAGTGCCACGTGCCAGTGCCCATCAGTGCCACGTGCCAGTGCCCATCAGTCCCACATATATGCCACATATCAGTGCATACCAGTGCACATCAATGCCACATATCAGTGCCCATCTGAGCTGCCTTTCAATGTCACCCATCAGTGCCAGTCAGTGCCACCTATCAATACCAATCAGTACCACCTATCAGTGCTGCCAATCAGTACCACCTATCAGTGCCAGTCAGTGTTGCCTATCAGTGCGCATCAGTGCCGCCTATCAGTGCCAGTCAGTGCCGCCTATCAGTGCCACCTATCAGTGCCATATATCAGTGTCATGTATCAGTGCTGCCTTTCAGTGCCCATCAGTGATGCCTGTCAATGCCCATCAGTGCAACCAACCTACCAGTGCCTCCTCATCAGTGCCCATCAGTGCCACCTATCAGTGTCCATCAGTGCAGCCTATCAGTGCCCATCACTGCAGCCTCATTAGCGCAAATCAGTGAAGGAGAAAAATCACTTATTTACAAAATTGTATAACAAAAACTAAGAAAAAACTTTTTTTTTTTCAAAATTTTCAGTGGTTTTTGGTTTGTTTAAGAAAAAATAAAAATCCCAGAGGTGATTAAATACCAATAAAGAAAGCTCTATCTGTCTCAAAAAAATGATAAAAATTTCATATGGGTACAGTGTTGCATGACCGCACAATTGTCATTCAAAGTGTGACAGCGCTGAAAGCTCGAAATGGCCTGGGCAGGAAGGGGGTATAAGTGCCCTGTAGGCTATTGGGAAATATTGAGAGTGCGCCATTGATTTGTCCTAAGCGCAGGTGATCATTATCCATCATGATAACATTAGTATTTCCTAATTTTCTTACCAGTTGAGACAGGTCTTTGGCTCCCTTTCCCCTGGATATTTGAGAGACCAGAATTTCTTTTCTCATGGGTATCTCTGGTATAAATATTAGGTGAAGTACACATAGATTTTTCATCTGTTGATCTTGGTCGGTAGATTTTGACATTGTTTCCACATTTTTGAGGCTCTACATACTTGCAGGCTGATGGCAAACATTTACTATTTACAGATGTGCAATAATTGGATATAGAACAGGAGCTTAAATCACTCAGTTCATAAAAACCTGTTGGAAGATAATATAAACATAATATTGTTGTAGTAATTGCTTTGATACAACAATTTTTTTAATTTTTTTTTTTTTTTTAATAAAATGAAAAGGTGTCATAGCAAAAGAGTCACAGCAGTGATATCCACTTGAAACATGTACACCAACTGCAGCAGTATTTGTAGTACACATAACCCTATGAAGGTCGACAATGGCTTCCAAAGCCTATATGTGGAGGAAGTGTTGGCATGTACATTGCACCCTGGTCCACACAAACAAAACTCAAAAAAGTGAATGCATATAAGAGAATTACTGGAAACATTTTTTATTTAAGCTTATGGCACTGCTACATTGTGCTGTCTTTTAGACACAATTAAAGCGATATTAAACCCAAAAGCAAACATTTATTATATTGCGGCTTGCCAATTCTTAGATGTGATGGCTGCTTTAGTTTCCTTTTTTTTAGGCTTTCTTTTTTCTATTTTTATGCACTGATCCAGCCAGCAAGTATGTTGTTTTTCAAAAGCACAAGCTCCCCAGCAGAATGTATCAGTTTACATGGATGAGACAAACCATTTAACACTGTCAGGGGTACTTAAAATAATCAGCTTTTATTTATTTATGTAAAACCTTTATCTCAAAAAGGAAAAAAAAAAACTGTTGCTGTAAATGATTATAAAGTGTGAGCTTGGCTTTCATTTTGTTAGTGTCTTTAAATCTGTTAATACATTTAACACTGCCCTCCCCTCCTGACTGACAATGGTGCTGCCTTCTGTGCTCGTTTGTCTCACTAATACCAGGGTTGTGTTACTGGTCAGATCACCAGGTATAAACCAAAATGGCAGCCGCCGTGCGACTGGAAATTATGTCATCACACTTCCTTTCGAAGGAAGTGTGGTGACATAATTTCCGGTCGGATGGCAGCTGCCATCTTGGTACACCTGTTCCTATGTATTTAATTACCAATGCTTGTATGGGTCAGCTGGCCTGATTTTAAACGTTGAGTATTCTATACCTGGTTTTTATACATTAAACATGGAAGTATTACACTATGAGATGTCCTTTAGTGTTTTTTTTTAACATGGATTTCTGATGAGGAATTGAAGAAGGAACCAGTAAAGTACGCTTATAGAGGAGAGCTGGTTGGATTTCGGGTTGATATTGAAGCACATTTGACCTATATTCCCTATAGGTCAAAAGGGGAGGTGAGCGTGCATGCTAGCTGGTGGAGGATTTTTAAGGGTGATCACTTTTCAAGTCACGTGTGGAAGATATGCTGTTTTGAAGACTTTTCTGCATTACAGATCTTGATTTTTTACTACATTTACAGATATTTGTTCACAGACTGTCACTGGGCGGAGGGCTCAGCCAGATGTTTATTTAATGTAATATTATTTATTATATTCTTTTAATTTTTTTGTGCTTTGTTATATACAGTATTATTATTATTTTTATTTATGCCTTGATATATAATAGATTATCTATTTGCACATGTTGAAGTTGCACATATTGATTTGTTCATATTTGGTATTTCCTAGCAGGGCATGTATTCTTTTTGGATATAGTTAAGGAAATACGTATTTGATCCCCTGCTGATTTTGAATGTTTGCCCACTCACAAAGAAATGAGCAGTCTAAAAATCGAATGGTAGGTGTATTGTAACACTGAGAGACAGAATAGCAACAAAAAATTCAAAGGAAATGCACGTCTAACAAATTATGTACTGATTTGCATGTTCATGAGGGAAATAAGTATTTGATCCCTTATCATTCAGCAGGATATCTGGCTATCAGGTGTCTTTCATACAGGTAACAAGCTGAGATTAGCAGCACTCCCTTTAAGAGACTGCTTTTAATCTCATTTTGTTACCTGTAAAAAAGAAACCTGTTAGGGACCAGCCGGTGGTAGCCTCTAGCGTTCCACAGACCAATCTAAGTTCCGACCTGCTTGTTCACTAGAGCCCCTGATGGTGCGGATGGACTTGGAGCAAGCCGAGACCAGGTCGCGACCCCTGGGTGCAACCAGCTATGGTAGAGGCACCTGTCGGTAGTACGCAGCAGGTGAGAGTCTGATGTGAGGAGGTAGAGTAAGCGAGGTCAGACAGGCCGGGTCGGTAACAGCAGAGCAGGTCGGTACAAATGGCAGACAGAGGAATAAACGGGTCACGGTCCGGGTTTGGCAACTGGAGATCAAAAGTGCAGGAGCAGGCAGGAGAATGGTCAGGCAAGCCAGGGGTCAGAGCAGGAGAAGTCAGCAGATCAGGATCAGGCAGGGTCAGCAGCAAAGTAAACTCACAGAACACAGGAAAGACCATACGGCACTTGAGCATTGCAAGAGCCGGTTTTAGATAGCCCGCCCGATTCCTGACAGGCACTCCTGGGTCCTAGTGCTTGCCCAGCGCCGTCATTGGTGACAGGCGCACCTGGGTCCTAGTGCCCGCCTGCCTGTATGTTTTGTCAGGATTCTACGCATGTGCAGATTCGATTGCCGGGGCGATCTTCACATTCCCTGACATTGCCCCCCCCCCCTTACGGGCAGCCTTCGGATGCCCAACTGGTTTCTCCTTTGAGGCTGGTTGTGAAGGAACTCCCGAATTAACCGAGGGGCATGAACATTTCGAGCAGGTTCCCAAGAGTTTTCCTGTGGCCCATAGCCTTTCCACTTGATGAGATACTGTGTTTGCCCCCCCTCCACCTGCACTCAATAATAGCCTCCAGCTCGAATTCCTCTTCCCCATCTATGTCTATGGCCTCTGGGGGTCTAGATCTACGATCTGTAAAAGGATCTGCTACAGCGGGTTTCAGTAGGGACACATGAAACACAGGATGGATTTTGAAGGACTCGGGGAGTGCCAGCTTATATGCTACCTCATTAACCTTACGCTCTACCCAGAAAGGACCCACAAATTTGGGTGCACGCCAGTTTCAGATTGGTAGTGGCCAGCCACACCTGGTCCCCTGGATGTATAACCAATTCCCCCCTTCTCTTTCTATCAAATATCCTTTTACTGTCCTCCTGGGCTTTTGCCATGGTTTCTTGTAATAACTTGTTATTGGTTGTAAAGAAATTCAGAGTCTCTTGAGCTGCTGGGACTGGTTTTTCTGGGATCAAATCAAGTAAGAAAGAGGGATGGAAGCCTTAGTTGGTGAAGAACGGGGATTGCTTAGTGGCAAGCATTATTGTATGCAAATTCCACTAGGGGTAAAAGTGCCAGCCAGTTATCCTGGAAGAACGATGTATAGCACCTAAGGTACTGTTCTAGTGTCTGGTTGGTGCACTCAGTTTGACCATTTGTTTGCGGGTGGTAAGCTGAGGAGAATGAAAGTTCAATTTCCAACCCTTCGCACAAAGCCCTCCAAAACCTTGAAGTGAATTGAACACCCCGATCAGATACAATGTTTTTTGGCACTCCATGTAGCCTTACGATTTCTCTGATAAATACCTGTGCCATTTCTGAAGCAGATGGTGTACCTCTCAATGGAAGGAAGTGAGCCATCTTGGACAACCGATCTACCACTACAAAGATTGCAGTATGGTCTTGTGATGGCTGTAATTCCACCACGAAATCCATTGCGATCATACTCCAGGGTCTGTCGGGCACCGGCAGTGATCGCAGCAGGCCCCAAGCCTTGTCTCTGGTGGGCTTGTTCCTGCTGCAGACGGCACAGGATTTGACATACATTTCGCAATCTTTGGCCATGCTTGGCCACCAAAACATGCATTGGAGCAAGTCCAATGTCTTGTGTACCCCAAAGTGGCCTGCTAACGGGTGGTCATGGCAATAGCCTAAGACCAGAGCTCGCGTCTCGTCGGGTACCAGGATCTGCTCCCCCCTCCACAAGAGACCTTCCTTGTTCTGCAATGAGACTCCAGGTGGCCTAGGAGTCCCAGTGGAAGCAGCTTGAAGTCTGGTTAGGAGTTCGGACTGAAGTAGCAAAAAGCTACTCGCCGGCAGAATAGTATCAGGTTTGACTGTCTCCCCAGGGTCCTCAAACAGAGAGAGAGAGAGAGCATCCGGTTTTAGTATTCTTAGATCCGGGCTGGTACGTAATGTGCAGAGTAAACCTTGAGAAGAACAATGCTCATCTGGCCTGACGCGGCCTGAGGCAATTTGCTGTCCTCAGATATTCTAGATTTTTATGGTCAGTACAGACCAGGATGGGATGCAATGCCCCTTCCAATAGATATCTCTATTCCTCCAGTTCTGTCTTAATCGCTAACAACTCCTGATCCCCGATATCGTAATTTTTTTTTTCTGATGGGGAGAGTTTTCTGGAAAAGAAAGCCACTGGGTGCATCAGCTCCTTTACTCCTATTCTTTGTGACAGAATAGCTCCTACCGCATTTTCCGAAGCATCTACCTCCAGAATGTAAGGTAATGAAGTGTCAGGATGACTCAAAATAGGGGCTGTCGTGAATAGTTTTTTCAAGGCTTCAAAGGCGGTCTGTGCCTC